CCTGGTGGAAACTGACCTTCCTGCGAAAAAAGAAATCGGAGCCAAAAGTGCTGTATGAAATCGCAGGAGACCACAGCAGCAATGGCGGAGAGGCACCTGGGACCACTGATGCTGCAACAGACAGCCAGTTTAATGCCCGCTTGGAGCGCATTGTGGACAAAACAGCAACAAAGGGGCGACATGTGAAAGTCTCGCATTCAGGTCGCTTTAAAGAGAAGAAACGAATCCGCTCTACTCTAGCAGAAAACCCTGAGCTGTTCCCTGAGGCCGAAACGACAGCTAATGAGAACAATAAAAGTGGAAAATAGAGTCGCTGTGTAAACACACTAGCATGTGTGTGTAAAGCAGCTCAAGAGGGCCAGCACTCTTCCAATTGACGTCCTCTGCCGTTTACAATCGCCTGAAGCTCTGAGCCTGAAGCAAGAGCAGGATCGCTGAATTAATGACTGATCTATACTGATGTTTGGGAACAAAGACATGCACAAACCCAAAGATCAGGTTTCTTCACAGATACACACAGCACCACTGCATTGTGGTCGACCCTTGAAAGGCTGACATTTAGCAAATGTTTAGCAAAGAGAAGGAATCAAACCAATCATATAGCAGCACAAGATGTCAGTAATGATAGTGGTTATTCTTTGATTATTTCTTATATATTATATGGTGAATCAGTTGCAGCTAGAGCACTTGTGATTCAACATATTAAAAGATTATTACAAGCATTGTGCTACAATGTTAAAAGGTTTTTTAGTAATGTCTATTCCAAATTTATACTGTAATTATATTAAACATAGATTGCTGGTATCTTTGAAAAACTAAATAAAAACAAAGTGTCATCATTGCTTGAATAGACCAAAATATATATTCTGAATAATAACTCTCTTGCTATAATACACAATTTTAGCCTCTTGTGTTGCTGTGTCGGGTTTAATTTAGATTTTTAATCTTGGTTGCTATTTATTGTACAGAGATTTTATAAAATGTAATCTGAAAATGGAGGGGGTTTATAATTGCTTTTTGTTTAATAAAATGGTCAAACATTTGCACAATGTCTAATTTAATAGTTTGCTTAGCTGTGATTAAACACTTAGTTTTGTACAAATGTATGCATTGTTTCAAATATACCTCTGTAGAAAATAAATTATTGCTTTTAAGATGTGGATTTATCTTTTATTCTGTATTTTTTCTTCTGAATTTTTCTATGTAAAAGCCTAAGAAACATTACCTACAACTTGACCTTCCTGGAAGTGGCTTCCAATTCTCCTTTGTTTCTACTCGAGTAGTTTATCCCTTTAATTATTTTTGTCAACCGCTAAGAACAACGATCTTTCTTTTTTTTTTTCCAAAACAATATTTCCGAGGCAAAACTCGTGTTTTTAGTTTTTGTACCAGAAGAGGGCGATAAAACCAACTTTTTCCGGCAATTGCAGACGACCTTCCCTGAAATGACTCATACATGCTTTTGTGTTTGTTTTGACTTTGTCCTCACGAAATCTATTGGTCACTTATTGATACCGATATACACATATAATGTTGATATTTATTTGATATCTATCATACTTGACAAAACAGTACACCACAATACACTTAATGCCAAGCCATGTCAGTTTAATGACTTCAAAATAGATCACAAAATAATCATAAAATATTTCTGAACTGATCTAAAATTGTTAAAGGTTAAATTTCCAACTCAAAATTATACAAAACTGATAAAAAGTGATGGATCTATATGCTGTCTGTGCTCAACAACACAAGACGAAACGCTCCGGCGGACGGATATGTCTGGGTGGTACTGCGGCCTATATAAACTTGAAACGCGTCATCGCCGGCAGATCCGTTCTCTTACAAAGCTGATTGTTGTTGAAAGCCGAGCGATTCTGCTCTCCGCCGAAATGGCCGTGTGAACTGCAGCCTGTAGACAGCGCGCAAACAACTCAGTGCATCAACATAGTGCACTGGTTCAGTACATTTATATCAAAATGGCGTAAGTATAATTTTTTTGATTGTTTTAAAATGTTACGTCGTGTCTGGTAGCCGGCGAGACGGAAGTGTTGCGTTAGAAGTTCAGCCAAATAAGCATTAATGTGTCCAGTTTATTTTAGTCGTGATTGTCAAACAATGTATTCATATTATGTTTATAATAGATCATGGTAAATGGTTTCTGTGAGAATGGGGTCATTACATGTCGTCTGGAGTCGGGTTTAGCGCGCCATGTGTCAACCTGACAATGACAAGATCATTCGATGAATTTATAGTCATTTCTGCTTTAAAATCCACTTTAACGTATATGTTTTATTTAGTAAATGAGTGTCAAATCTCTCAGATAGTGGTAAACTCAATCAAATTGAGTGGGACTGTTAAATTTATTATTCTTTGTTATTGCGTGCTCGTTATAAAATGGCGCACGTTCCTGAAAAGGGAGCGGCGAGTCCCTGAAATGGCGGATTTGCCCATTTTGATAAAGCAATAGGACGTTGAACTATGTTTTTACCAAAAATGTTTGTGTTCAGCTAATTTTAGTGTTGTATGAAAAGAGTAGCCTAACGTGACTTGACTCGGGTATATTTGTATTTGTTTTTTTATTAATGGAAGCTAGTCTGCTGACTGGAAGTGACAAAGAACATCACGTGGTAAATGCCCACATATGGGTAGAGAAGGGTGTGGGCTGATGGTGTGATCATGAGTCAGGAATAACTTGTGGGCCTTTTCCTAGAGTCTGTTTATTTATTTATTTTTTTTAAGTCATGTTATATAAGAGATTAACTACTTTTGTTTTGTTTTTTTTTACAGGTCCTTTGTGGCAACTCTGATCTTTGCTGTACCCGACAGCACGAAATTATTTGAATTCTCAGTAGAAGATTCTCTAATTCCACTTGAAATAGACAGCCATGTCTTTGATGAGCTCACGGTTTGGCCTGGACGATATGGAGGTCCTTCTCTGGGACCCATCATCACCGATGGCTGACCCTCTGCGGTCAATTCTAGATAAAGATGAAGAGGTTCTTCCTCTTGGAGGTGCTGAATCACCCCTCTCATCTTTCTCTTCCTCTTCACTTCCCTCTCTTTCCCCACCTTGTACTCCTCCCTCCCCTCAGAGGGGGGAGAAGGCTGGGCTTGATCCGGTGTCTCTGCCCTGGTTACCCTCAGATGAGCTGTGCCTAGATAATCGTGGCACAGACAGTGGTGAAGGTGAGGTGTAGACATTTGAAAACGTACATCATTTCTTTGTAAATACTTTTCCATAAGCATTTTATGGCATTCAGTTGTGAGATTAATTAATTTTTTTATTTCAGATCATTCGTTTAGTGGAATGGATTGGATGACAGAACGAATTGATCTGAGTGAGTTTGATCTGGAGTCTTTGATAGACTCTTATGATTCTGAGGATCCACCCAGTTCTCCTGAGGAGCTCATTGCTTCTCTGGAGTCACAGATTGACCTGGAGTCCCTGCCTGTAGCTTCTGACAATACTTCACCCTCTCCATCAGCCTCTGTCCCTGAAATTGATCAACTCTCCAACCTTTCATTCACTTTGAATACTCCAGTTACTACACATCTCATTCCCCCATCCCCTTGTGAAATCTTAGATTCCTCCTCGGTGGTCCCTGAGCCCCAGGCTGAGTTTGAGATCAAGTCTGAACCAGCCTCTCCAGTCCCTTCACCTTCAGTCCTTCCCCCTGAGTCCCCTACTGACACTCTTGAGCTTGGTTGCGAGGTGGACATAGCAGAAGTTCAGAGTCCATCCCCTGTAGAGTTGCGGGTTCCTAAATTTGTCCTCTCTTTGTCCCCGACCCGCATTGTTTTTGTACTTGCTCCCAAAGAGGAGGTTAATGCAATGGCTACCCATTCAGGTGAGGTGGTTGTGGAAAGTTCCCCAAGTCCAACCTTCTCTGAACCCAAAACCCCATCCTGTCCTCCGTCCCGCTCTTCTAGAGCAAAGCCCTACCTTTCCCACGATTTTAAGACCACCAAAAATCAGCAGTCAGAGTCGCCTACCCTTACAGGACGAGTGAAGTCAGCCAGTGGCTCAAAGGTTGTGGTTGAGAAGAAAAAGCTGAAGAAAATGGAACAGAACAAGACTGCGGCAACTCGCTACAGACAGAAAAAGCGTGCAGAGCAAGAGACGCTCCTGTCAGAATGTGCAGTGCTCGAGGAGAGAAATCAAGAGCTGGCAGAAAAAGCTGAGTCTCTTACAAAGGAGATCCAGTACCTGAAAGAGCTAATGGAAGAAGTCAAGAGGGCAAGAGAGAACAGAAGTTCGAGAACATAAAAGGACTCAGAAGCTGAGCAAAATTGACGGTTTAGCATAGCCTGAAGTGCAGAATGCTAGTTATGAATGTTAGTCCTAAAAGAAAGTATTATATGAAGGGTTGAAAAAAAAACTGTTTTGATTTCTTCCCCGGTTTCTAAATAGAAAAGCTTTTTTTTTAGCATGTCAGCTATCAACAGAGCTTTATATTATGTATTTTTTTAGTCGTGTGTATCTTATCCTATGCACTGTATTCTAATATAATGCATTGTGTATTAAAAATGTTTAGTCCTAAAATGATGCTGTAGAAATGCTTTGTATTTAACCTTTCCCAACGATTTAATAATAGAAATTGTTTGGTGTACACATACTGAATTATCTATTTAGGAATTTTGTTTTTGTATGGACCTCTCACTGCATATCACCCAGCTTGAACCTTATATGTATATTAAACCTTTCTAAAAATAATGTTTTCTTTTGTCTGTTTTTTTTTTTTTTTCATAAAGCACCATCAATGATTAATTAAAATATTTAAAGATGGCTTTGTCATTCACCACATAAATAAGTCAATTTAGACTAGGAATATTTACACATTGACACGGTATTAGTGTAATAAAATAAATGTTTTATAAATTATTAGAAGTTTCTACTCAACCGATCAATGGTCAATGTTTTAGACCAAAACTGGCATTTTAAATATAATTGTTTAGTGCAACCTTTAAATATTTACAAATGAGTTCATACTTGAAGCTGTACATAAATTGTATTCTTTATTTATATGGAAATTTGTAGTGAAAAGCAGACAAAAAGTTAAATCTTTCAGTTGTGTCAATCCAGTTGAAAGTCACATTTGAGGTTGAAATGCTAGCCTATCAACAAGTGTGGTATATATTTGTGGACAAGATAAAAAATACTATGCAATGGTAATAACCATGCACTTAACGACCAGCATATATTAAATAATGTTGACACCAGAGTCCTGAGTTTATCCTTATTAGTATCAAACCTTCAGTAGCAAAAAAGTATTCATAGTTGAACAACTGCATACATGAGAATCCAGCTCTGTTTGGGGTTTACATACTTACCTATATAGATGTTCTGATGTAATTCTGTATTTAACAATGAATGTACATGAAAAACTATAAAAATAGAATAATATTGGTCATATGATTTGTTTGTTTCCTCCATTCATTTTACAAAACATTTGAAAATAATAAGTAACAAAACGTGCATGCGTTTGCAATAAAATAATTGAGTAATTGTTTACAGGATTAAAAATTATAAGTGATTTATGTGGTTTTAATAAAAGTTAATGTAACAAAAATCCAGTTCCTAAATAAATAAAAATACTGATTTGCAAATGCTTAATTTGAAATTTAATGTTCTTAAAGGCAGGTAATGTTCTTTTTAGTCATCATCACTTCTGTTGAACACAAAAAACAACGCTGGTTGATGGCACCCATTGACTTTAGTAGTATTTTTTTCCTACTATGGATTTCAATGGGTGTCATCAACCAGTATTTTTTAAAAAGGAGATTAAAACTCAAAAAATTTAAAACCACATGAAGGAAAATAAATGATTCGTTCTTTTCTTTTCATTTTTTTTTTTTTTTTGGATGAACTTTTTAACTTGTAAAACTTGTAAAAATAAATATATAATATTGATGGGAATATATTCACAAATCCTTGTCATTTTTCTAATGGAGACCTCAATGTATCTTGTACCTCTGTGTAATACAGATGTCAACATAAGTGATCGATTGTGTCAAATTCAGAGTGAATGGCCCTATAGATAATAAACATTTTCATTAATACTGCTTGTCTTTTGATGCAAAAATCAATAATGTTTACATTCATCTTGCATTTGCATTCTATTTTCTCTTATTTCTCACTGCAAACTGCACCTTCCACTCATTTCTTCATCATCTAGTTCTTGGTTCACTGTAAAACAAGGATGCAATGATCAGTTTTTACATAAAATTGAAAATATTCAAATAGACAGAAAAGATAATGTGATGTGAAATCCTCTAATTAAATAAGCAGTGATTGATAACACTTACATTTGACTGGTAGGAAAGGCTTCTGTCCATTTTCTGCAACCATCTCCTCTATTTTCCGCAGGAGTTCAGTCACTTGTGTCTTGTCTTTGTTGGCTTTGGTACAGTCCAAAACATGATAACAGTTCCAACAATGGCGCATCAGTTTCAGCAGCTCACCTCCATCCCGCTGGATGTGGTCCTCGATTGATGTGCCGTACAGCCAGTCACCACATGAGAACAGCACTAGCGTGTGTTGACATGCTTCCGCACCAAACATCTCTAAGTGGTTCTTGAGGGCCTGCCTCTTTTTGGGAGTGAGGGAGGAGACCACAGGTATGACCAATAAGAGTGCATGCGGGCCTGGATGAAGAAGCCCCGCCCCTTGTTTGATTTCTTTTCGTACATGGCTGGGTGTGCGCTGCACAGAGAACCAATCCCAACCTGGTGTGTCAACAATCGTGAGGCGACGACCATCAACTAGTGCTTGATGTCGGACAGATACCTCAGTGGGGCGTCCTGAATCAAACCCATGACCACCGAGTAGAAGATTGCCCACAGAGCTCTTGCCTGCTCCACGCCAGCCTACTAACAGGACTCGTAACTCTGTCAAAAGGTAGAAAGTGGAAAATTGTGCATAGGAACTTGATCAAAATGAACTTTCAAGAAAGCATTCTGTATTGCTATCAGTGGAAGATTGATATAGACAGGACTGTACCTCTTGGTGGAGATCTAAACATTGCTGCTGCCCTCTCCACTTCTGTGTCTCTGTCCTCTTCTTTTTCCATTTCAGTCTCTTCATCTTCAAATCCGAGGCTTGGCCTCACCAATTCAAAGTACCAGCCTTGATTCTCCTGCACCATCTCCTCCACTTTCTGTAAAAGCTCTGCAACTTGAGCACTTTTGTCTGAGCTGGTGTTATCCAAGGCATGATACCTGCAGCCACATCTCTCCACTAACCTCTGTAGTGCAGGCCCACCATCCACTATAAATTCCTCCACACCCTTGTCTTGATGCAACTGGTCTGCACTGGTGAACAAAACCATGGTGTGCCTCCATATTCCTGCTCCCAATGCACTAAGTTGGGCCCACAGACCCTGCCAATGGTGTTCGGTGAACGGGACTCCAATGGGAACCACCAGCAGTAGGGCATGGGGACCAGGTAAACAATGATCAATGATGTACTGCTGGTTCTTAGAGTCTGCCTTGTCAGGCATGTTTTCTGTCTCCAGCTTCCATCCTGGGGTGTCAGTAATCGACAGTCGCCAGGTAAATATGTCCACCCAGTGTTTATGATCTGTTTGGGAACTGTCAGGTTTATTATCTTGGCTCAAGATGGTGTTCATTGTTGAGGTTTTACCAGAGCCCTGGAACCCTAGCAGCAGGAGGCGCCGCTTTGGTAACGAAGATCCATCTTCTTCTGTGAGATAAAAATAAAAGAGAATTTTTTTGCAATTCAATCAATCCACCTACAACAAAGATTTTCTTTATGCTGACATTTATGTCAAACTACATCTTCGTAGCCTACGATTCATTCTTGCAATATTAAACTGGACTGTTGTTATTTGGCGACACATTGGCTCAGTGGTTAGCACTGTCGCCACACAGCAAAAAGGTCACTGAGTCCCTGTTAGGTCAGTTGGCAGTTCTGTGAGGAGTTTGCATGTTCTCCCTGTGTTGGTGTGGGTTTCCTCTGGGTGCTCCAGTTTACCCCACAATCCAAAGACATGCACTATAGGTGAATTGAATAAACTAATTTGGCTGTAGTGTATGAGTGTGAATGAGTGTGTTTTCCAATGTTTCCCAGTACTGGGTTGCTGGAAGGGCATCCGATGTGTAAAACATAAGTTAGCGGTTCATTTCGCTTTGGCGACCCTTGATGAATAAAGAACTAAGGCGATGAAAAATAAATGAATGAATGTATTAATGACATTGTAGCAAATGTTTGCATGCCAAAATATGCAAGCATTGAAATGGTTTCACAGAAGCCATTTTCAGACCAATCAGCTTTATTTCGGGCTTTGTGAACAACTACACATGAGGGAAATCTGAGTGAGAAACTATTTCACCCTCATGTGAAATACCAGATCACAAAGATTGTTATTAAATGAATGGATTTGGTTTACAAAATGTCCCCAAGCAATAGTAATGCTGATCCTTAATGACGTTTGGGAACATAAGCATTTAGTTCTGTCAGTCATCTGCACGCATAACAGCAGTCTCGGTGACAAATCTTCAGGCATACCTTCACCTACTGCTACATTTCTCTCATACTTTTGTCTGGTATGATACTATTATAGGATGTTCTAAATTAGCACTCAAGCTGATCATCCTTTAAGGACAGCAAGCCAAGTTTGTTTACCAAGTCTGAATAAGCTGATGAAATCTTGAATCATTCTTGTGGTCTTAACATAATCTAAAACACTTACATTTGATAGTGCAAGAGAGGTTTCTTTCATGTCTCTGTCTCTGCTCGTCTAGTTTCCTGCAAGAGCGCAGTCACCTGTCCTTGCTGGATTTTGGGACAATGCAGTTTCAGCAGCAACTCCCCCATCTTTCTGCTAAATAACCCTCACCATTTTTTCGAATAGTCCCTGCTGATCCAGAATCAGAGTGAATGACATTTGTGTGGAAATCTGCCATTATACAACGGTAAACTGACTCTCCAGACAACCTTAGAAAGCCCCAGAGACACAGGAAGCACATGTAATGTAGAGGAAGAGTGAGTCAGCTGTGTGGGTAGGTAAGATCGCAAACTGAAAGACTGTCTGAAACAACGATGAGATGGATTAAAAATAAATTTCAATGTCACTTACCAGCATTTAAATCAGAAGAGATTGTAGCCATCGTGTATCAAGCTGGTCCGACGTCTCCTTTTCCTGCTCCCTTTCTCCTCCTCCTCCTCTCTCTCTCTCTCTCTCGTTTGCTGTTTTGTCTTGGCAGGCAAGTTGCTTGTGCTCAAAACATGTTTCACCCCTCTTTTCTCAGTCCTCTCTCTCTCTCTCTCTCTCTCTCTCTCTCTCTCTCTCTCACTCACTGAACACAACCATGCAACCTTTCTCCCTGTTTTTTTACCGTCTTTCATTAGATACAACAAGCACTGACAGATAGCACACAGAGCAAAGGAGGAAGAATGGCAGAGCGATGTGAGGGGAGTGAGCGAAAACCCCCCACATGTAACTGTAAAAGTATGAGAGTTAGTGGGTTAAGTTTGACATGTATTATACAGCAAGTGGCCCCCCTCTATTCAAAGGTACTCTAGTAAAAGATAGTGACTGTGGTGTGGTCACTTATTGTTTAATCCTATGATTACGGGTGGAACAAAATAGTTGTCATTAGACCAATGAAAACAAAAAAAGACAAAGCTTAGCTCCACCTATCTGATTCTGCAGCATGACCTAAACACCCGCAGCACTGAAACACTAGAGGGAGTGAAGGACACCAAGGCAGAGCAAACAGTACAAATTGTTTTTTTTTTTTTTAAACCTACACAAATTATTACAGAAAATACACGATCTTACAATAAATAGTTACGTACTTATAAAAATCTTAAATAACTGCTTTCTTATTGTATGTAGTTATAAATTAAATTATTACTCCAGTCATATTGCTTTTATTACTATTACCATCAATAATAATAATAATAATAATAATAATAATAATAATAATAATTATTATTATATTAACAATAATAATAATAGTAATTTATATTACAGTGATTTTTGAAGCATCATGTGACTCTGAAGACTGGTGTAATGAAGCTGAAAATTCATCTTTAAAATCACTGAATTAATTATTATATTAAATTATAAACTAGTTTTGAACAGTTATTTTATAGTGCAAAAACATTTCACAATTTTACAATTGGTACTGTATTTTTGATTAAATAAAAGCAGCCTTGGTAAGCAGGATAAGCTTATTTTCAAACATTTAAAAATACTGACCCCTAACTTTTGAATGGTAGAGTGTGTGTGTGTGTGTGTGTGTGTGTGTGTGTGTGTGTGTGTGTGTGTGTGTGTGTATATATATATATATATATATATATATATATATATTTGGAAAATATAAAAAAAATAAAAGAAGGTTATATATATGTGTGTGTATATATATATATATATATATATATATATATAACCTTCTTTTATTTTTTTTTATATTTTCCAAATGATGTTTAACAGAGCATGCAAGGAAATTTTTACATTTTAGTTCCAACCCCAATTAAACACAACTGAACCAGCTAAGCAAGCTCTTTCTAGGTATAATAGAAACTTACAGGGGTGTGTGTTGAAGAGAGTTGTAGCTAAACTATGCAGGACACAGCCCTCCAGGACCGAGTTTGGACACCCCTGCTTTAAGCTGTATGGAAATGTCTTAAAAATATCTAGTCAAATATTATTTACTGTCATCATGACAAAGATAAAATAAATTAGTTATTAGAAATGAGTTATTAAAACTATGAAATGTGTTGAAAAAATCTCTCAGTTAAAAGAAATCTGGGGATACAATTTTAAGCCTATCTTAGAATAATCATAATATTTACACATGCTTTCACAATACTTTACTTAGAAAGTAACTACACATTTATATTTTTCAACGTGAGTTAAAGGGTTAAATCACTCAAAAATGAACCATTTTCTCACTTGTCACAAACCTGTTTGATATTCTTTCTTGTTAAACACAAGATATTTATTTGTGGAAAGTTGGTTTTTAGTTTTTTAAAAATATTTTCTTTCGTGTTCATCAGAAGAAACACACAGCACTTGAGGGAGAGTAAATTTTGGATAAACTATCTCTTAGCCTGCAACTTAGCCTGTATTTATTTAAGGCAAAGCATTTTATCTGCATTTATGAAACCCTTCTGTTGGTTTGATTAATTTTTAATAAACCTATTAAAATGGTTAAAAAAGTTACTTTTTTAACTTTTTTTATCGTTTAAAATGTTTATGAGAAAATGAAGAGTGCACAAAATGGCTACAACAGTAACAAAATGTGAAAGGAGAGTTCTTCAGATGAACTGAGGAGGGCAGCAAAAGGCATTAAATGGGACTTGTCTGCCGCAAATAACAGAAGAAGAAGAAGAACAAAACTTAATGCAGACTTGCGGTTCCCGTGCAGTCCGTGTGCGAGCTAGACGCTCCGTTTAACCGCTGCAGGCATGGAGGGATCCGGAGAAGAGTTCCTGAAATACCGTTCACCGCTGGTGTCCCGGTACGCCAGCAAAGAGATGGCCTACAACTTCAGTGACAGGAAAAAATTTACCACATGGAGAAAGCTGTGGATTTATCTCGCGAAGGCCGAAAAGGTCTGTTTTATTTATTTCCTGTTTTATTTATTTTCTCTTTATACTTTACAGACGGTCTAAACTAGATTATTGAAGTTGGTATTGTGATTCTCTGAATGCCAAGTGTAGTACTGTTGACCTTGAATGAGAGGATATCTCAGGTTGTCAACTAGTCTAAAAATAGTCTGAAATGAGTTATTTTAAATTAAGTAACATTAGTGGTGAGTTATGATGTAATTTTTTATGTTTGAACAAGTGGTCCAGGCAGTGCACAAGTAACAGTGAAATACACTGATGATAATGTAGTATAAAGTAAGTTAACTTACTGCCTGTGGCAATGATCTCAAACTGCAAGGGAAGTGTTCGTGGAAACGTTTTAGAGAAAATAAATCATAAAACAATGAATATTTAAATTTTATAAAATATTTTTTAATTATATAATAATAATAATAATAACCCAAACGTACATGAAAATGTTATCTGTTTTACAAATAAATTGTCAAAATGTTAAATGGATACACAAGGATACACAATAACGTTTTAAAATCTAAACTTATTTTCATTATAGATTATATTCGCTCATTCGTTCAGAACTTTTGACATGCTCCCTATGTTATTTACCACAGTAATTTGAATATTTGGATTGAAACCACATGAAAGTATGACTTAAAAATAACATAAGCATTAATTCACTGACTCAATGTTGTAACTTTGATAGCCATTGGCTGATAATAAGATTTCACTATTTAGAATTTGCAAAGAATACTTTTTTCTGAAACATTATTATTAAGCCGAATGTGTGAACATAAAACCAACTTTAACTGAATGTTTTATGCATGGCTCATGCAGTGTCCGACCTCCTTTAGACCAACATATTGACTGATATTGAAGAACAGAGATTGTGTGGTCACCCATTATCTCCAAATAAACCACAGTCCACAGTGTAGAGAAGAATGTTAATTGAACGAAGTTATCTGGTCACATGGTGGTCCTTTTTTGACCTATTGAGACAGACTGTTTTTTGTTCACTTCTCAAACCAATTCTTTCTCTGAAAATAAAGTCACACTGCTTAACTTTACCGATCTAGTCCCTGGAATATGCTAGAGCACAAACTGTACAAGACCAAGCCCTGGGAAAGAGCGAGTGACTGTGTGTGTGTTTCCAAAATAACTAGTGTAAATGTCAGGGTAACCAGAGAGAGGCTTATCTTGAGTGTCTCTCTCTGCTAAAGATGAAGTTAATATTCCTCTATACAGGGGCAGATTTAGTGATTTGGGGACCCTAAAGGGATCAACAGTCCTAATATGCACCCTTTGTGTTTTATTTGTTTATTTTGTAGTGTTTTCTTAGATCACTCAATCTTCTTTTCTATTTTTAAAATGAAATAATTAAAAATAATAAACTATTTAGTTTTTTTTAAGAGTAAATCTGCATCTGATTTGACTGCTGGACTGCTCTGTTATTGGTGTGGGGGACAAATTTGTATGAATATAATTACATTAAAAAAAATTGTTAGACCCTCACCATACAAAATAAGATCAAACGACAATATATATTATTTATGCGTCTTAGGTGCTCCTAGGAAATTTGGGGGTCCGAATAATATTTCAAATCTTTTTCTAAAAATTAAAAAGTTAATGTTTCTTTTGTTGCCAAATAAATATTAAAATGCAAAGGACACTTAAAGAATTATCACAAGAAAATCTCTGATATTGGCTAACTAACAAAATTTGTTTAATTTTTATGAAAATATTGATTTACAATGTAGCCCAATAAGAACACTTTCACTGTGTTGTGTAAGTTTGTGTAAAATTATGTATATTTTGTAAACATCTTTTCAAAACAATACAAACATACAAAAAGCAGATATGTATATAAATAAATAAATCTACACCCCACCCCGAAAAAGTTACATACATTTCCATATATACACAAAAATCATTGAGCGAGAATTATTTCATTGCATTTGCTTTACTAATCTGTCACTCTTAAACACATTATATTTAGAAAGAGAAGTTTTTTTTTGTTTCGTGAGTTTCATTTCTTTGCTTCAGCACAGCTCTTTTTTCTCTCCATTATCCAGTCTTTGGGCCTCCCCATAAGCGATGCTCAGGTAAGCGAGATGGAGACTCACTCGGAGGACATTGATTTCGTTATGGCTGCGGAGGAGGAGAGGAAGCTCAGGCATGATGTCATGGCTCATGTGCACACATTCGCTCAATGCTGTCCCACCGCTGCTCCCATCATCCACTTGGGTGCTACTTCCTGTTATGTGGGTGACAACACGGTAAGGCCAAATTATTTCTATCCAGGCCCAAGAACCTGCTCATTAATTATCAAGTGAGCTGAAAATGTAAAATAAAATGAATGACATGTACACTTAATTTTGTATCTGAAATTGAAGAAAGAAGAAAATTTCTTTGCAGCTTTATTGCAATTTTGTGGCAAACAACATAAACATGCATACCTTAATTTTGGATTTGTTTGCTTAAGTTTGTATTATTTCATGTGCATATATTAAATTAATGTTTTAATGGGTACAATTGATTTTCAAATGTCAGCTCTGTGTTCTTTATAGTGGAAGGAATACAGGATAATTTTTTAAATACAGCTTAAGCATTTAGATTTTAGTTTTTCCTAAATTGGTTAATTGCAGTGATACAGTATTTATTTTGAGTTTTTAAAATTGCAATCTATGGTGGTTTTTAATGAAAATAAAAACGAGAAAGGGTAATACTAACCATCAAAAAAAAAAAAAAAAAAAAATCAGCACAGTCAACTACATCCCAAGTTTAATGATTTATAAAAGATGAATTACTGTCTGACTATCAGAGTTAAGGCATGGATATAAACATTACAGTCATGATTGTATTTTAGTATGACAGCACACTGTGAGTGTATATTAGCACCCTTTGTTGTTCGCTTTTAATATTAGATAGAGAGTTTGCACCCAGAAACTGTGACGTGATGTCAGACTTGTTTCAATATTTTGATTATAGAGGGAATATGACAACATTACATCAATGAAATACATTTGCAAATGATTAAAACGCAGGATATAAATGAAGCTTTTATTAGAAAATGCATGCTGATCTTACTTTAATATTGCATTTTGAAATCGTGACAATGTTCTTTTTGTGTATTGTGTGTTTTGTTTGTAGGATCTGATTATGCTACGCGATGGATTTGATATCCTGCTGCCCAAGGTTTGACTTCCT